AATAGATATTACGGTTGAGCGAGATGATCACAGTCCATTCATGTAGAACTGAACAGGACTACGCGTTGATAACGACTATCACTCGGCGGCGAAATGTCTCGCGCCAAATCGTTCCACTCCGAAGACATTTTGGCGAGCTCGTCGTTAAGGGCTCTACTGAATACGCCTTCTTACTCTAGAACCCATGCATAATAGGCAGAGTAAACCAGGTCTTCTTAATTCTCTTATGCTGGAGGATTTGATCCTCACCTCGTTAATAGTTTTATTTTTTGGAATCATTAATCCGCACAGAACAATGTTAAAAATTGGATAAATGAGTGATAGCAAGAATGGCATAATTAATATGTCAGCAGTTATATGCATCGTGGAGGCACAGAGAAATCATTGCGCATTTCTAAGTTTCATTTTGGCGACGCTTCTGTTCAACTGTCAATTCCGCTAAATGACGAGTTAGCTTTGAAGTTCAAATTAAAGTATTTGAGAAAGAGATTGAAATGTAACGATGTTCGAACAGTTGGAACAGCTGATTCAGTCAGACTGCAACAGTCAGCGCTGATCAGCTGCAATTAGGTAGAGATTGGCATGCACTCCCCCCTCTTTCTCATAAAATGACCGGAAGCGTGGGCTGATGAAAGGGGAAATCGAGCATACCTGTGAAACGACCGGAAGCGTTCTCCCCCCTTACAACGGGAAGATCAATGAGCCGGCAGAGCGATGGTAAGACGTTTTTATTGGCGGAATCTTGCACCGGAAGTGTTGCACAGACAGAAGGTCAAGCGGATTAGTCCTTGAAGATGAACAAAGGATGAGCAGTTTTATAAATGGGCCGTAACTGATAACGAATATCTACTGTCGGAGTCGAAGCTGAAGCCAACTGCTGAGTTTGCGGATGTTGCTGTGTGAACATAAACGTCTATGGATAAGCCGTTTCGCCCCAATTCCGCACCATTTTCTTTCGCAACTCCTCCAGTTTCGAGAAAAAATAAAACTTACGACGAGCCTCTTTCATTTATGTGCTTTAAATGGTTTCCCATCTGTGTCATACGCAAGAGCATATGTTTTTTCAGTAAATTATTACCAATATACTTAGAACTTTTAATTTAGTCTGTTCCAACGATAGAAGACGTTAATGATACCAACGGTAAAATAAAGCTGTTGCAACGACATCGTAGATAATGATACTTCAACCGCACTTTAGTAAAAAGTTGTTACGTTTAATTGTGTCTCTGCCACGATTGGTTTAACGTATGTACAGTTCATTGCTTTTTAAGATTCAGGTCATATTGGACAGATTATGTATCAATCGCAGCTAATGCCGTACTTACGTTGATGACGCAATGTTGTTTGTCAAATGGAAAATACTTGACGTCAATAGGACAGAGACTTTTGGTCGAAAATGGAGCATAATAACGGATTTCGCCGGCATGGTTGATTCGCACATTCAAGTTACTTTCGATTGCAGAGGTCTGCTGAGAGCTACAATTTGAATAGCGATTTTACAAAGCGGGATCGAACACAGAAACACAACCTGTAAAATACGAAAATTTCTGGTTTCCAGATGCTATCTGCAGGAAAAAATATCTCTTTCGAACCATCGAACTTGTTCGGATTCCATTTCAGGTACTGGTCAATCCACATCTGTCGGCAATAGACATAAGTCATACATCATTTATTAAAATCTACAAGCAGTACCATTTCAAATGAACCAGATATTTCGATAAGGTTACGCTTCCCGTCCTGAAATTTCACATCACATAAAAATAAAACACTAAAAGGGGATAAGCAATAAGGAGAACACAATCAAACGGCATATTTAGTTAAGTAATAACATTTAGTATGGAAAATACCCTTTCTAGTAACGTGATGCAAAACTCTTTCCAATGAATCGTAATTTCAATCCATGTGAGTATTTGCTTCAGCCCTCTAATACTTCTGATCGTTTGATAGAGGCAAGAGTGACCGTCAATAAAATTTCACGAGGTACAGATTGGCGGTCGGTGTGGCTTAATGCGTAGCAAATAAACTTGAACCTAGGCACTATTGAATGATGAAAAAAATGTTCATTTGTCACGGACTTAGACATAACGTCTCTCCGTCCTTCGCATCTGTAGATTTTAAATAACAGCTCTTTGTGGCTTATTTTGATTAAGGTTTTTCTTAATGATCTAGGGAATGGGCACCCCTTTATAAACCGTTTTTTCCTGAATCAGAAAACAATACTATATCTCAAGAAGAGAGTTAACTAACAGAAAGACGTAAAGGTTGTGAGGTCGGCATGTGTTCGGATAGGGTGCTGTTAGTCCCAACAATAGTTACAGTTTTTTATGTGCATTTCATGTGCTGTTATTAAATGGAGTCAGTCTTGATCGAAAGGACCTTAAACCTCAGCAACGAAACAGCGAAGCTGCATGTACGTCTTTTAAATTGGAAGAAATGACACTTGCAGAAATGTTTGTACGTAGACACTGTTCATTAGTCACAGAAGTTAATGCGCTTGTATTCGTGAGCAGCAGTACTGTTATGAAGAAGCATGAAGGTGTTCATCTGATTAGTCAATAGAAGGCTGTTGTTGCCGTTGTCATAGTCATCTGGTGTTTCAGAGTCAGGAACACAGTACCCAGATTAGTGATGTTGACGCTTTGATATCTCAGAACTATTTAGGCCACAGTAGAAGAAAAAAATGATAGTTAATCAAGGAGAATAACTGAGGTAATGCCGGCGAGTCCTACCATAGTCCAGTAACGTGCCTTCTAATTAACTGAAAATGCCTGACGTCTGTATTACCGGTACAATCAACGAGCGCCTGGAGGCTAACAGCCTAATATTCCCGCAACGAAGGGTTTGAAAAAAGAATGCTGCTGAATCCAAATAATCCTAGTACCAGTTGCCTACAAACGAGGCACTACATCGGAGGGCAAAATGAATGAGCTACTACTAGAAT